CCATGCGCCAGGACCTCTGTCTCATTACCTGGAGCGACTTCCGCAGACGTCCCATTCTGAACGCCTGACCTTTGGGAGCCGAGGAGTTTTGTTTGTTTTTCCTGCTGAGCAAAAATGTCATCCTTCAAAAAAAAAATGGAAATAAACAGTTACATGATCCACTGAAACTCATAACAACGGACAAATTGAATCCATCCAACCCTCTATGCAGTGTAACAGCCATAAATAAAGGCTTTATGGCTGAGAAGTTGTAGGCACTAATCCAACAAAATCTGATTTCTCTATTCCTTTCCCCCCACTAATATATATATATACACACACACACACGTGTGTGTGTGTGTGTGTGTGTGTGTGTGTGTGTGTGTGTGTGTGTGTGTGTGTGTGTGTATATATATATATATATATATATCAGAAAATAAGGGGTTCCAAGGGCAGCGATGACAGAAAGTTAACTATAGCTTCTTAAACCAGACGCCTACCAGTATTTATAGTTACACGTTCTGTGCATGGTATGTGTGTATATTACTGCACCAACTTTTACAGTTGACTTCTCAGTAGTAATGTGAAACCAAAACAACTGATGGGCCATACTTGGAATCACTTGTGTATTTCTTGAATAAAACAAATTCAGCCTTGCCGCTCAGAAAACGACTTGGACAGCCAGTCAAGTCAGCAGTGCCAGAACATTCAAGAAATCTCCATTAGCCTTCAGGCATCAAAATAAAGGGCTGACGTTTTTCTAAAGAGCCCGGCACGTTGGATTTTGAACACCTGGACAAAAGCGTTGTAATGGGAGCTGCCGGGTGAACATCTGCCCCAGTTGTGGTTGCAAGGCATTTGGAAATATGGGTGGAGCACACAGCAGTAGCATATGATCTGCCATGCCAGGTGAGATGCATGCCCTCAGTTCTCACCAAGGGTAGTGCAAGCTGATGATGACAAAAGAAACAACCGCAAATGCAACTCCTCTGCCTTCATTATTGGCATGTGTTATACATAAAATTGCATGTGCAGATGGGCCTGGTTACCAGACAAATGCAAGGTTTTTGGTACACGTGTATTTCGCGGGGCAAAGCCCCACCACCCTCTTCTGTTCCGATACAAGCTTAGCTGTTAACTCTTGTGTTATGGGACTAGGTTTAATTGCAGAAGTGCTTTACATAGGGGCCAAAGGCACTGTTCCAAGCAAGAGGTGCTGCAACCACAGGAGGGTCCATCTCTGGCACAGCACTAGGGAGGATTCCTCCCTTACCTCTGTGCTCCCGTGTGCGGGGGTGGGAGTGATGGTACTGACCTCTACTATCAGTAATTGCTACCCTCCTCCTCCTCCTCCTCCTGGTTCAGTTGCTCTGGCCAGATAGTAGGGAGTGGAGTCAAAGCTTAATTAATTTCCCTCTCCCCCCAGCTGCTCTGAGGACCAGAGACATGGTTTGTAGCCTTGCTTTTTCAGCACATCTTAGATCAGTGACCCAGGCAGACCACAGCTGGACATGCATTGTAACAGGCCATGCTCCCTTGCAGCCTTGCTGGGGTGTGTAGGTGGTTACAGTTTAGCCTGGCGTGATAGCTTTGCCCTTCTTTTGTCCTGTTAACAGAGCATTGCAGCTGAATAGGTCTGTCTGGGATTTATGCATCAGTGTCATAGTATTTATCTATTGCTCGTGCAGACCTTAGTTAATGTTTTTAGAATCACCGAATAAAATAGCTGCAGTTCATGAGAATGGAGAGATGATATAGTTGAGCTTTGACCCATTGTAGCCAGACCCTGAGTCTTCCCGTTTCTGTCTGTTGTAGAGTGAAGTCATCCAATGATCCTGGCATCCCAGGGGCAAATAATATAGAAATAAATCCTCCTGCATCAAGTGGTTTGCCTCCATTGCTCAGGACAAAGTTCACACCACTTCATGTCACCTTCTGTTTCTTGCCACTCAGTTCTACCTGCACCATGCTTTAGTGGGAGGAGTAGAGGGGACAGTGTGCCCTTCAAAGTGGTGTAGGATCAGACGCACAAAACAGTTGCATTGAGTCAGGTTGAAATGCAGTAAATTCCTCCCTACCACCCTGCTTTTTTTCCATGGATATAATTTGCTCATCTCTTCATGCTCTTTTTTTAAACAGACTCAACTCCAAGGGCTTGATTACAATGAGTGCTGACAAACCAATGAGTTAATGCTCCTACTGCCCCCGCTTCCTTTAAGAGTTGTCTAAAATAAGACCATTAGTCTAGCATTCAAGTTTTATCTAAGGAACAGATTAACCCTGACCATTGTGGCTGCCTCTGCTGCCACTTTCCTTCCCAGAACAGAAATGGGCAAATGCATACTTCCAATGTGTGCGAGTCCAGGGAAGCCTTGCGGCCCCCTCATTCCAGCCCAGCATTTTTAGTGTAGGAAACCAAAATGGTTTTTCCAGGGGAAGGCTCATATGAGCATCCACACTGCAGGATCAGACCCTGTGTTGTCAACCAGTCAAGTCCTTAACTGTGCCCGTATAAATGGTGCCTGTGAAGTCAGTGGCATTACTTGTGTGAGCAAGTTAAGCATTTATTTAACAGATTCCAGGGTGAGCCCTCAGGGCAGGATTTGTCATCCCCCTCCCCACCTTTTTTTTTTTAAAGGCAAATGAGATGATGAAGGAACTTCATTAATATTCTGTAATAAAAGATGTCAGATTTACCCAAAAAACCTTGTCAGCCCTTTACTGGATACAGTCTACTCGATCAATTAAGTCATATTAGAGCTGTAAGAGAGAGAAGTTGGTTGAGTAGTTTTCTAATGAAATCCTACAGAGATGGCCCTTCTTAAGGTGGTAACAGCCCATCTTTAATATTCTGACCCACCATCTACTTGGTTTCACCAATAAAACAGCTCCTGCCAAAGGAAATCAAATGGGTAAACAAAAGATAATGCATTTATTAAAATAAACCTTTGCGGTGCTTAAAATCTCCGAGTGATTTAGGTGGCAGCTGTAGAGCTTACAGCCAGAGTCGGGTGTGGGGGGGAGTGGAAACTTTTAGCAGTGGGTAGTTTTATTTACAACACAAATAAATTATTGACTCTTGCAGGGGCCATAATGACCCTTTTGTGGCTCTTTTGTACTTGAGTAATGAATGGCCTTAGTATAAAATGCCCACGGGTTGCCTCGAGCTCTTGTCAATCATTACCTGATCAATAAAAACTTCAAACAGGCCCCTTTTTGCTTAACTGGGCAGAATTTCTCCCTGAGTGGAATGGCTATATACACGCACCCATGTGTCCGTGGCAGCCATAGAAGGCAGCAGTAGATATACTTGGCTGGAAATCTGCTGGGGTTGCAAGTCCCCATCTCCAAATAGGAGTCCTTCTGGCTTTGTTTCATCCCAAAAGGGTCTGTTCCAATTGCAGACAGAGCTGGAGGGACTGAACAAAGAACGGCGGATGAAATCTTGCAAACCTCGGCTACCACAGCACAGAGCAATGCTTGGGCTATTTCCACTTTCCCACTCTGCTTTTATGTTCTGCAGCTGACACATAAATAAGATCAGAAAGGTTAAATTTCACCAGCTTATTTAAATAAATACATTATCTTTTGTTTTGCAAAGCTTGGCAACACAGAGGGTGTTACCTGATGAAAGACTGCGGGATTTCACTGGCCTAATAACAATGACTGTTTCATAATGGAGGAAAACGAATGCATCTTCATTAAATAAATTATAACATCTGTGAGCCCAGGCTGAAACTAACTTAGAGCAGCCAGCCTATAGGATGTTCTAGCCATGCTTTCTGGTTGCATTACTCAGACAAATCTAACTATTCTGAAGCTGATTCACATGGGTTTTATATGCCCTGCCAGTTTCTGGTATCATACATATTCATGTCAGGAGTTCTCTTTCCAAACCAGTAGATTTAGAGAGAAAACCGCAGTCACATTATGGACCGATAGGAAGCTAACAAGCTCTGGAGTGGATTTTTGGCTCCCAGGAGGAGGCAGCTGCTGCTGGGCATATCCAGTAAGTTGTGTACATGGCAGAGCTGAAGGGAAGCATCAGTAAAACCACTGGAGACAGGTTCTGCATTCATCAAAGTCAACGAGACAACTTGCACTGACTTCATTATGGCCAACTCGGTCCCAGAAGAAGGCCTGGCTTTTTTCTCAGTGAAGTTACTCCTGATTTACACTGGTTATAAATGAAGAAAATTGGGCTGAGATTGGAAGAAAACCAAGAACACCTTTACTCTGGGTATTTCAGGCCTGATTTAGGCCTCAAAGCCTACTGAGTCTTCCATTAGCGCTTCATTGGGTTTGGATCAGAGCACTAAGCAATGCAAGGATTCACTTATCATATTCACGCGTCTCCATGATTCAGAAGACTGTAGTTCGTTCCAAGAGTTTGGTGATTTCCACCTACAACCCAGCAACACATGTATGTGAACTGGTATAATTCTGCAGGCATTTCAAAGTCAACAAGAACCCAACATTTGCTGCTGTGCCCTTAAGGTATAATGTTTACTTAATTCAGGTTTTAGACCACAATTTTTTTCCAGTTCCCTCGATAGCAATGCACTGTGGTGTCCACAGTAGGAAACATCATGCCAGCAGCATCTCTGAAATATGCTAAAACAATCTAAATTAGAAAATGTCAGTTTCTTGGCTGATGTTCCTTTGGAGTTTCTTTTTCCTTTCTTGTGCCTCTGTAATTTTATTGGGATGACTAAATCTCTGAACTATGTTAGCAGTAAACAGAACTAATTTACCCCCTGCTTCTTTGAAACAGCTGCTGACAGCTGCACTATAATTCAATCATGGATCTTTGCAGTGCAGCAAAACATATTCATATTTTCTTCATAGTCTCCCCCCCGTTTGTATTTGGAATGAGGCAGCTTCACTGGACAGTGACACGTGCCCGTTATACCAATATATAAGGCCTGATCAATACAGAAACCCTGACACTCAGCGTGAAAACTCAGCCTCAACCAGAGGCCCTTTTGATCTAGCTGGAATAACCACACAAAGGCACAAAGTTGTTGGAATATCTTTTGTAGAGTCACAATGATTTATTTCACTAGTTTGTACAAAATGCTTCTAACTGCTCTATGAAAAGAACCAGAAATGTATACATAGATTTTGCCAACTGTTAATAAATATCATCTTAAATAAGGAAACAAATGTGTTTTAAGAGATGAGAATTTTCCTGAATGCGTGACTGAAAAGGAATTCAGAGATGATGGAAATAAATAATTCTTTTTCCACGTTTGTGACAACTATTTACATAAAAATGTACAAACAAACAGAGCCAACGTACAGCCTAGCAACAGATTCTGTCATCGAGTTAAAAAACAAAACCAAACCCTGCAGAACATCTAAGAGTCAAACACAAGAAGAAAGGGTGGTCAGCTCTGAAACTGGACTGTGCCAGTCCGCTGGCTGCCAGCATTGGACACAAAGGACAATACTCATCCTTGCCCACATAAAATAATAACCCGCCCTAAACATCCAATGTTAACTTCATAGCCAGCACCTTAGCTTCCCATACAAGGTTTAGAGACACCTAAAAGCACACTGCATGGGGGGACGTGCACAAATACTACAATTCGCATGACTTTTTGCATTTTACATTTAAAATGATGGATGCACGGAAGGCAGCTGCAGTCCGACATTTCTCAGAGATGGTTTGTCTAAGGCTATTGCGATGCAGGCTGAAAGACTACCCTCCTAGGATTTGACTTAGTAACTATAAAGTCTGATTCGGATTTCAGTAAGGTATAGCTGTGTTCATTTTAATGGCACAGATTATATATGCCAGAGCTGAATTAGGCCTGCAGGCTCTTGGTTCGTATTTATACGTATGCATGGTGCCTCTGGTCTTCCCTTAATCCTGCTACCACTGGAAATCGCTGATAAAACCGTTATTGACCTTAACAGAATTAGAAAAGAGAACTGGGACACAAGAAACAAACTCCCAGCTTGTCTCCTACAAAGCTGCCCTTTTGTTGGTGGTGGTGTTGTTGTTGTTAAGCAAAGCATCTGGTCTGGATTTTAATTGTGGTTTAGAGGGAAGAGAGCAATGAGTGATTCGCAGAACCCCACAAGGTCCTTCATCTCTCTTCCCTTAATAGTTCCTTGGTAATGAAAGATACGGGGTCTGAGTCTGAGTTGGACAACATGAGAATAAATTAGGAATCCCTCCTGTGTGGGCTGCAGTTATACTGAGACAAAAAATCAATCTGAAGAGAGAATCAAGCCCAGGGATTAAAAAAAAAATGTGTCTCCCTTATGCAGCTGGTCCAATAAAAGATATCACTCACAAGAATCCTTGCCTCTCCCTTGCATTGTTTTTGTAGATCTGCCTAGCAGTTTCAAAATGGGAGGCTAAGCAGGCAGGCAAAAAGCCTGGTATTTTATTGGAAAGAACTTTTTTTTTCCTGATGAAGTTCAAGTTTTGGCCATCTACGCAAGCTCCAAGAACACAAAAGCACTTCCAGCCAGCCCAATTTGTGATTGGGCTCAATGGTAGGAGCTCCCATCCACCCTTCTGCCACAGTAGCTTTAATTTAACTTTAATTACAGAAATTTGATAGCTTTTGTGACCTCTGACTTAAAAAAGATCAACCAGGAGGATGCCTTCTGGACGCTAGTTCCTGTAGCCTGGTTTAGATGCTTTGAAACTGGCAATAAAATAAGCATCGCACAGAAAATACTGACCCAGGAAACTGTCTGGTCTAGTCCACAAGAAAGATTCAGGACTCAATCCTCCAGATGCCAGCTCCAGATCCAGCATCACACTTTGGGCTTTCCGCACTTCTTTGGCCTACAGATCTGCAACATTTTTGGGGCTTTATTTAGCGCACCCTGAGATCAATGGATGTTTTCCATATGGGAGCAGGATTTTTGGCTTGCCTTTCATAATAGTGTAACTATTGGAGACGCCCACCTTAAGAGCTGGGTTATATGTTTCCAAATTATTTCCTATTTTTTGAAAATGTTATTCTTAGCCATCTCAGTCCATTGCAAATTCAGGTTCCTGCTGGTAGCCAAAAGAGATCTGTTTGCCCTCTAACACCAAAATTCAACATCAATCCAATCTTTTATTCTTTGGAGTTTATTTCTTTCAGTTCCTACAGTGAGGTTTCTAGATGCATTTGTCCTTTTGAGTCACTTCTTCCAGAATATAGGTTCTGCTAGTGCAAAATTTAATACTGGAAGTTCCACGTGTTTAGTCTTTGCCTCTGCTTATGAAGAGGGCATAAGCAAAAAGGATGGAGTTAATTCTCTAACAAAATATCTGTTTCTCCAGGTATGTTTCATTCACTCATTTTTATTGTGAACAACATGTTACAAGAACTAAAAATGCTTATTACTTTGCACGCACTCGCACCACAGATAGATTTGTTTAAAAGAGATGTTTATAATGAACGCTGGTGAGTTAGTCATCTTCCGAAAGGCTCCTCTGCAGCAGTACGTGGTGTTTGTAACCAATTGTTTTAGGCAGACTGGTTTTCCCGTTGGCTCAAAATCGGTTCAGATGTCACCTGGATCCAGAATTTGTCCTATTATCTCCTGCCGATTCTGCCCTGTCAGAAGCACGATGCCTGCAAACTGTTTTTACAGCAATCCGAGGCTGGAGACCTAAACTTTTTGCTTTGCAAATCCATATTAAAAAAACCCTCATTACAAATCACTCTTTTTCTTTCCTGCAAACCTAATGGCAGCCGCAGGCCCGTACTACCATGTTCCTGTATTTTTTTAAGATAACGTTGGAGCTGTCATCAAAATAGAGCACTGAGATGGCATTGAGTTGTGTAGGAGCACAGCAGGGCTTCGGCACGGTCTCTGGGTTTATAAAGTGAACCTGGGGAATGAAAGTAAATGATGTTAGGACTTCTCTCCCTTCCCCTTTCCCCACCCCCACTTGATCTGTCTTGTGCAGTATTTTCAACACACAGGTCACGTATACATGTGCTCCAACATGCTGTAATTACAGCATGTCAGAGCAGACTCAATCGAGTCTGCTGGAGCGTGGTAATTACTGCGCTTCAGAAGACTCCAGCACCACATGTATCAGCGTCCCCGCGCTGAAAAAGGTGGTGGGAACACTTTAACTAAAGCTCATTTGATGACATGTGACACTCCAGACACTTTATCAGGGGGGCTCTCAGAGCCGCTCTAATCAAAGCACCTCTCCTTCCTCCCTCTCCTGGAGCACATCTATAAACACCCACACATCCTGCATCTGACTTATGTGTGTGAACACCCTTATGTTCACATTCAAAGGATGAGCTTAACAAGCAGCACAGCCGGGTCCAAAGTCATAACGATCCATCCAGGGCCTGTCAAGATTCTTACTGTGAAACAGGTTTTATCAGCAAATGCCAATTTGTCAGCCGCCACATTTTTGTGAAACTTTGCTGGCTTTATGATACACTTCTGAGGAGCTGCAGGCCAGTTTCCGGTATGGATCAACCTGGTCTCCTGCCATCTCGAGGCACATGATGGGTGGCTCATCCTTATAGCTATAGCTTCATCAGCCCCTTCCCAGTAGCCCCCAAATCTGCTCTAGGCAGATGCCATGAATTTTTGATCCAGAAATGCTTACCCTCTTACTTGCCCCCTCAAATCCTTTCCCTCTTCTACAGTGCCATTTGTCTTCATTGGCAGGTCCCTTTACACTCATAGAGCATGTTAATGCTTCCAACAAGACTGGGTACTCCCAAGCCAACTAGTAATTCAAGCTACTTGGCTAGACCAGTTCAGCCAGGTGCTGCAGGTATTACAGTGCTTTAATGTAGACACCTGCTTTCCTGCTAACTCCGAGGCTTCTCCTTTGCATAACATTTATTCCTGTGCAGCAATAACCTTCAGAACACAAACTGAAACTGCACCTACCAGTGTCTGCACAATAGCATGGTTTGTTGCATTCATGTATGAGTTCAGTGGGAAGGCACATTCTCCTTCACAGTAATAAGCTGCATAGCCCTCCGGAGCAATTATCCAGTCCTGGATTAAATTGAGGATGTTAGATGTGGAGGAAGGATAGATTGGTATGTACAATGACAAGAAAACTGGAATGAAACTCACATCTCTCAAGTCAAATACATAGAGAGACTCAAAAAAATCTGTGCCACTCCCCATTAAATTACCTGCCCTGGCAATATAATCCATTCTTTGCACCTCTACAGCTCCCACTTATCCTGAAAGATCTCATATCACTTTTCAAACTGCTGTACACAGAATATCAGCAAAGATTGGTCCATTCAGTATGGAAACGTAATCACTACTGGGCACATAGAGTTGGAGCTGCTGAGCAACACCTAGGGGGATTACAGAAGGCGAAGGATAGAACATCCAGTTGAAACCACAGAGGGAACTGAAGAAAGAGAAAGACTCAAGTCTGAATTTCGCCAGATTTGAGGTGGTAAAAATTTTCAGCCAGTCTTAAATTGGTCCCCAATCTGCATGATTTCTTCAGTGCAGTTAGAGGCCCAGGACAAAAATGTGGTCTTTGGGGTAACGCCACGAGTAAAAAGATGAATGACTGCAAAGGGCTTTGTCCATCCTACGTGCAAGCAGAGAAACCTTACCTGCCATCCGAGATCCCGGAAGCTGACGTACAGCTCGTGTTTTTTACAGGCTTGCCTCTGATCACTGCTGCTGTTTTCTGAGTTGGAAAAAAATCAAAACCAGGTGAATGCATACCGGCCAACTGAACGCATTAGTGCAATTTCACAATGAAAGCAAAGCTTACTAAGACTATCTCCCAGAGCTGCTGAACCTCCCCAGCACTGACATGTCCTGGCAACATCACACTGTGAATGAGACACTACTTGCCTCTGCAGGTCTGTGCTGCTTTCTACCATTGGTCAGCTTTTTTTATCATTTTCAGGTTTTTGTATTTTAATTGTAAGATGCCAGCTGGATTCAGTAAGTCTAAACCACCTACCTGGCTTCCTGTGCAAAGCCCAGAAAGTCCTGGGAAATGAATTTGTTTCTGCAGGGCTTCCTTTGACCTGTGGGAGCTTATAGTTGGTAAAAACCAACTTTATTTTTTATATACATCTATGGTATAGCAAGAGAACCAGAAAGACATGCAGGAAAGGGCCTCAGAGAAAGACCATGCTTTCTTAATGTATCTGTACCTTGCATTTCTTTGAGTTATTGGCTACTGACTTGGGTTCTCTTTGCATGCTCTAAAAAGATGGCAGGACCATAGGAGAATGACTTGAAATCTATCGTCCCATGTGTTGCAGCCATATTCTGACTGCAAATTCAACTGGTGATGAGCCCCATAGAAAAAAGATAAAAGATGTTGGTTCAAATGAGCCCAATCTTAGGTAAGCTTTAAAGCTGGCCTCAAACTCCAGTCTGCTGTTTGGATTGAACCACTGAGTCTGGCAGCTGGAGAAGTGATCTTTTAAACTATGCCAGCTGGAGACACCCAGCCACCAACCGTGTTATCTTTACAATCACATTTCTGACTGTTTATAGAGGTGAGAAGTTCTGTTATCTGTCACACACCGCAAGCCATTCAGTCCTGGACTGATTGCTAAACTAGCCTTGGAGAGATTTTATACAGTGAACTGCACGTTTTCTTGTGATGGAAGAATTTGGAAAAACACGGTCCAAAATCCACACTCTCTTTAGAACGGATTTGCCCAACTTGTGAGTTTGGACATGCAATGCAGGGCAGGGCAGAGAAGAGACATGGCATCAGGAAGGAAGGAAAGAAACCACTCAGTGACTGACTAAGCAGATAAATTATGAGGAAACTTTGCAGCCAGAGACCAAGGTAGGGAACTTGTTCCCCCATGCTTCTGTTGACTCTGCAGAGCTAATGGCAGCAAGGGAAGTCAGCAGCCATGACCCACTAAAACAAGATGTGTCAGATAAGATGCCATTCTATGCATAGGTCTCTAGCCAGTCCTCTTCCCATACAGAATATATGTATGTGGGTGCATCTATACGTTCATTAATGCGCTTTTTCTATTGAGCATTAAACTCAGTACCTCTCAGCACTTTTACAGGTGCTCTGGGAGTGGAGGGGGCAGTGCTTTAATAAGAGTGGCTCCAAGAGCTGCTCTAATTAAAGCGCCGCTGTGTCTCATGTAACAGCAACCCTGCGCTTTAAAATGGCGGCAGGGGTCCTTGAACTAAAGCTCATTTGACGAGCTTTAGTTCAAGCACCCCCACCGCCGTTGTTAAGCACAGGGATGCTGCTACGTGAGGCGCAGGAGGCTACTGGAGCGTAGCAATTACCATGCTCCAACGGACTCGATTAATCCAGTCTGCTCAGACGCACTGGAACTCCAGTGCATCACAGCAGCCTCGGTGCTCACATCTATACGCCCCTTCTAATGTGAGGTGCTAATTAAATGTGCATTAGGCTGCCCAACTGCACAGTATTGAAAGCGCATGCTTTTTTAGTGACACTTAATGTGCAGTAGCCTAAGTTAACTGCACATTAGCACGCTTCTTGCCATCATGCTCTAATGAGCAGTAAAATAAGCTACTGCACATTAAAACACGTGTCGATATGTCCTAGGAAAAACAGATCTGCCTTTTTGTCCATTCAGATCCTGTACAGGATAGATGTAGTCCCCAGGATAAGGGATGAAAAAAATGTGCATGTCTACTTTGGTCTTGCACATGAAAACAGATGAATGCTTTGCATGTTTATGATGGAGAGCCAGGGGGCCTGCTCCAGATGCACTGGAAGTCAAGTCAGCTGAAGCATGTAAATTGTCGTGCTTTGGCAGCCTTGTGCGTCACGTGTATCAATGGCGCAGCATGCCTCTGTGCTGAGAAAATGGTGGCAGTGAACTTTGCACTAAAACATGTTCAATGTGCTTTAGTTCAAAGCACACCACCACCATTTTCTCAGCACAGAGGTGCACTGCACCACTGATACACGTGACGCCAGGGCACTTTTAACGTGGCTTGCTAATTAAAAGCTCCCAGCGCCACATTGGAAACACATGTAAAAATGCCCAAGGAGCCCAAAATATTCAGAAAGAAGGAACATTGTCCCTATCTAGGAAACAGATGACAGGATTTTGGAATGATTAGTGAAGGGCTAGAAGCAAGACATCTCAGGCTAGAAGCAAGGCTGCGTGCACTGGAGGAAAGCAAAGCTAGCAGAAGTGCTAAAAACCTACAGAGCATGTTGGCCCTGCCTCATGCAATCTCTTACACATCCGTACTCAGAGTTAGCTCTCCATTGCAAGCAAGCTAGCTGTTCGTTAGCAGAGCTCAGAAGCCGTCTCAGTGTTCTGAGGCACCTAAACCTTGATCAGATTTTTATTTTAAATATCTTTCTTAAAATTCTCTCCCCCTTACAAAGCTGAGACTCCCAAACGATAGTTTTGGTCGTGCGAGTGAACAGTTGCGGTAAAGCCAGGTGGGAAACATATTTCCCATCCTGTGAAAATGTTGCAGACTTCCAAATATTTTTCCATCCAATTCAGAACAAGAAATACATCTCAGAGCTCACAACTCAACAAATCTGTTTTCAAGCTAATTGAACTGTTTTCTCAATTTTGATCATTTTAACTTTTACTTCATATAATTAGAGTTCAAATTCCCAAAAGTTGTTTGAAGTCAGAAAACTGGATTTCTTTTTCTGTGTGTATGCATGTGTGTGTGGACAATATAGTCATTGTTTAAATTGCTTTTGAGCTAAAGGAAATTGTCAAAACTGACCCTATCTTGTAAGGAACTTCAGTTTCACTCAAACAGTATTTTCTAATTCCCAGCCACAAATACTCTTTGGTAGGGCTGTGCGAAGCTTCAGTCCCCGATTCAATTCGGCGGATATTCAGCCCAATTCGGTGGCCAAATCTCTGAATCCGAATCAAATCAGGACACCCTTTAATCTCTCCAAATCAGTTTGGAGAGATTTGGATACAGACAGCTTTAAATGTCTTTTCTACATACCTCTAGGTAGCAGGCAGCTTATGAATGCTGTGATGCCGGGGCTCATGGAGCATCCCACAGGAGCGGAGGGGGGTCCACAGTGCACTTGGCTTGGCAAACGGTGCCTCCTGGGTCTGCAAGGGGCACCTGGGCTCCCCCGTGGCTGATCACCAAGCTCTCGCATGCTCCCAAGCTCCCTGCATGCTCCCCGGTAGACCCAGAAGTGGATCGGAAGTATTTCTGGTCCACTTCCAGGTTTGCTGCCAAGCACACGGTGGGGACCCCTCCCCGCACTCCTGTGGGATGCTCCATCCGCCCCAGCATCGCAGTATCCATGAGCCGCACTGGTACCTTGACGTATATAGAAAAAACATTTAAAGCTGTGTCTGTGTCTGAATCGCTGATTCTCCGAATCAGCATCGAATCTTCGGATTCTGATTCAGCCAAATCAAAGTGGGGACGGTGATCTGAATCAACGAATTGAATCACTGTTCCCAATTTGGGCCGAATCCAAATCTGAATCGAATACAGCCCATTTCACACACCCCTACTGTTTGGGCCTGCCATGGACATTGAGAAGATGCTGAACATACTCAAGCACATAAGGAAAGCAGGGAACAAATTGCTCGAGCAAACAGAAGTTGTCTCGTTCTGGTCTCTACCATATATTATGTGGATATTCGGTACCCAAGAACAAAATCTTCCTGTACCTGCAACGTTAGACACCCGAAAAGCTTCCTGGTTCTTTGGTGCTTTTGATCGATTCTGGCTCCTTTGTTTGCCTCCAGTGGAACGAATGCTGCGGAGATGAACCTCTGTGGCTTTGAAGAACGCTACTGTAAAAGGCTGCTTATTTTGTGGGCCATGTCTTCCAATAAGACCAGCCAACTTGGGATTGATGCTTTGTCCTTAACAAAACAGACAGAAAATCAGTCCAATAGCCTAACAAAAGCTTTCCATTTCCAGTGACAGGAGTGATGATAATATGAGACAGAACTGGCCAATACTACTTCATACACAACATTCCTAGCTGATATCTATTTGCATGGATCAACTGAAGGACTGGACCTAAAATTAATAGGCAAAGCCACTTCTAACAGGAACAGCTCAGTACAGCTAATTTCACTTTATATCTGCATGTAAAAGGGAAATAAAATGTTCCTACATTTAATTATTTTACTCTAAATCAGCGTTAGCCTTAGCTTTTGCCTGAATTCTTTAGAGGGGTTTCTTGAAGTTCACCAACCTATAATTTGAAGTGATCCTATAAAAGGAGCCATAAAGCTCAGCCCATAGGGGCACTAAATTCCCACTGGAAGGTTATTAACTTAAAATAAAAATGCCTTGTATTAAATGTTGACATAGTTCCAAAAAGATTGCACTTGAAAATAGCAAATAGTTCAGATCTGTAGAGACATTTTGTTTATTGCTACATTTGTCCTACTGAATTGGATAACCTGGTTATACATACGTTGGTTATTCATTGTTCCTTTATTACGCAGGCATTTTAAATACATTTTTGTTTCAGTAAAAGCTACCTGACTGATATAGCTGGACGCTGAAGCCCACTATTTACAAAGAGATGAGGCAGGACTAATGGCAATGACCCTACAAACCAGGGCCTTGCCAATTGGTTTTGACTCAGGTGTGGATGACCCCTTCCAGAGACCACTCCAGTTTCTGTCGGCACCCAGGCTCAAAGTCACTGAGACAGAAAGGAATGGTGTTTAAGGATACTTTATAGGATTATAGGCAAGTAGAGCTGAAAGGGCCCACAGAAGGTCCTCTAGTGCAGTGGTTCTCAACCTTTTTTGTACAAGGACTCATTTGTAAGCATTGATGGCCAGTCCTGACCCAGTGCCCCCCACCCCCAGCCCCTCAGTGTGTGGGGCAGGGGGTGGGTATGTGGGGCAGAGGGAACTGTGCCAGCCTGCAAGGGAAAAGCCACTGTTTCCCACGTTTTGCTTCTTTAAACAAGAATCCATTTTAAAGTTTGTTGATCCATTTTTTTAAATTTGTTCTCGACCCTTTCATGAATTCTTGTGATCTACTTTTAGGCCGCGACCCTCTGGTTGAGAAATGCTGCTTTAGTGTCCAGCCCCCCTGCTCAAGGCAGGATCATCCCCAGTTAAACCATCCTCGTCAAGTGCCTGCTCTTAAAAATTTCCAGGTTGAAGACGCCACAAAGCACTCAAGTGTGCGCAGAGCTCCAAGTACAGACTTAGTCTCATTGAAGTCTATGAAACTTCTCACAGGCTTAACAGCTACCATGTGTTTTACTGGCTCAAGGCTTTATTTCCTGTCCGAGAACGAGTTTAAACCGATCCAAGCTGGGATTCATGCAGTATCCCATTGAGTCCCTACAAGCAAACCTTTCTGTTTTCCACTATCACTTCCTTTAAATTATTACCATGGTTTTAAGGGGGTAAATCATTTTACCTGTACCACCTTGCTCTCAAGTATCTTAACAATATGGATCCAGCTCTGCTTGGGTGACACAGTGGGCATGCATGAGTATATCAGAATGCAGAATTTGACCCGCGAACAAATTAATGGAGAAGGGAACTTAAAAAAACCGGAAAGTCACCAGGGCCATGCGGTGGCAAAATATATAAATTTTAAGAATGCACATTTGTTTAACTTTTATGCCCTATTAAAAAAGACATTAAAATATCCTGTGTGAGACTAACACCAGAGAGGCAGTATGTTCCTCATTAATGAAACTGTGTGAAAAAGCCCCACTTGATTCCAGGCATTTATTTCAACTTCTTCATACACCCAGGGACCAAATATCAAGGAAGAATGTGGTTAAGTTTAAGGGCATTTGTCTAGTCCTAATTAACCAATTATGTACTTGTCTCAAATGAAATAGAGCCATGCTTCCACATTGGAGAGTGCAGCCTATTTATCTTTAAGAAGTTTGCCCTTTTCTGTGCTGAGCAAAACAGGATATGAAGCAATAAGTAATAGGCAAAGTAAACTTAAAGAGATGGCTGTTGTCCCTATGTATTGTCAGGGACTGAGTTTAGGTTGACAGCATGCCTGAGGCTAATGAATCACTTTAGTGTTTCCCTTGCTTGTTGCTTGAGCTTATTTTGACTTTCTAAGAGTAAACAAGTAACCTCTAATTCCCCCCTAGTTCCTCTCATGGAGAAACCAAGCTGGCACGCTTATAAAGAGCAGTTAAGTGAACTCATCTATTTTGTAGCTGGACAGTGTGTATTATAACTCCATCTTTTTACTATCTTACTTACATGCATGGAGAGAACCGTGCAAAACGATCACTACGCATTCCCAAACCAGGCACTACTGACTAGATTTCCTTTTTCAATATTCACTTTAAACTCAGGCTGTGTCTGCTGCATGGTTTAGCTTTGTTCACAAGCGTCTAGTTTTGCGTCAAAATCCTGCAGTGTTTGCAGACGTGCAACAATCTGACATAAAATCCAGGTGTAACTCCCTAGCTCTGTAATTAACATGCAGTCGATCTGAACCCAGACGAAATGTAGGGATCGGAGAAAGGCTTGCCCTTGCGGCTCACCATGGAAGGGAACACAAACCCAAAACTGGGAAAAGCAATACTGCAAAGATTTCCTCATGGATTTAATTTTAGAATGCAAGGTCTAGTGTCCAGGGGGTTCCATTCTCGAGGATGAAGCTGGCCCCAGAGCTTTGAAGAAATACGTCACTAGTATTTCATCAATGTGTTTTGATAAAGCAGGGTATTATTTTCTAACATAGTCTTTTTTGTTTGCCTGATTATCATGTGTTTATGAACTCGGAGGGAGATTTTCAAAGACACACTTGGAAATTAGGGCCGTAACTCCCACTGAAAGTTGATTGGAGTTATGCAACTAGCTGTCCCCTGTGCCTTCCCTGAGGAGACAGGCTTGTTCGTAGATTGATAAGGGTCTGGTTTTGATTGTCTACCAATTTACTTTGTCTGAGAAATGACCCAAACACTCTTCACAGTTTTAACGTTCTATTCTGTGGGGGATTCTGAAAATCTAGGTCTGGAATCCAAAGTCTATTAAGTCTACTTATACTCCAGGGTAAAATATCCAGAGTTCACACACCCTTTTGTACACTCAAATCATGGTATGTGCACACACCAATGTGTATGCATATGGTCTGGGGTGTTTCCGCGTTCACAATCAATAGTGAAAATCAGCTCTATAGCCTATTAATGAACTAAAAATGAAGGAGAAACTTCCCTATCTACACAGTATTGCACATTTACATTCATTTTGAAGGTGCACGTTTTCCTCTGAAGGACATAATTTCTTTCTTTACTGAAATTGCTGTGATCCTGTCTGCTGTTTATTTCACAGACCTAAGAACAGAGCACCTCTTTTTGTAAAATGCAATGAAAATTTCTCATGTTTGTATATATAAATTTAAATGGCTTATACAATATTCAGACTTATTCTCTATGAAGTTACAACTGGTTTAGCTCCTAGTTCTCTTTCATACACTTCAGGTGTGCCTACATGTGCATTTATGCCAGCTTAAATTTACTGCGCAGTAAGTTACTGTGCAGTAAGCAGGAATAGGCTTGCGTCTACACATGCACGCATTAAAGAGCATTAACATTGTGTGTGGACTAACTTGGTACTCAAGTTAGTCCCAAGTTTGTCTACACACACAGTGTTACTGCACAATAAGGTGTCTACATGTGTGTTCCTGCACAGTAACTAATCGGTCGTAAATTTTATACCTACATGATGCAGGTATCAAATTTACACTCAAGTCGGAGTAAATCGCCATATTTACTGCACAGTACAGGTATGAATGTGTAGATGCATGCCCCTACTGTGCAGTAATTTTGGTTACTGCACAATAAATGCACATGTGTAGATGTGCCCTCCTTCTATCAAGGTTTCTTTGCTTCCTACAGCCCTGATTTTAGTCTACATAGAATGTACTCAGAGGGCATGTCTACACAAGATGCTGCTGTGCAGTAGTATCAGGTTACTGCACAGGGAGTGTCTCGTGTAGATGTGCCCAGAGTATGGAAAATATTTCTAGACTGCAACTGTTGAGCACTAAATCCTAGCAACATAATTGGAAGACCGAGTAAAAAAGAACCATCCTTTCCCAAGATATGTGACATGCATTTTGTAGTACCACAGGCATTATTATTGGCAATTTAAGCAATTTAAAAATTTTAAAGGACTCATTGGATTAATTCTCCCTCTTCAGAAAGAGAAAAGTCTTTGGAGTTCAACCAGACTCTGAAACATGACTGAAAATGATGTGACAGTCGATTACACTCCATGAACAATGAATGCAAATATGTTCCTTACTGGAAGAATCTTGAAATCAGTCAAGACCAGGGGTGGGCAAAACGTGGCCCAAGGGCTGGATGTGGCCTGTCAGGCCATTCTATCCAGCCCATGGGGCCCCTCAAAAATTTAGCAAATTAATATTTATCTGCCCTGGGCTGCCTGTCATGCAGCCCTTGATAGCTTGCCAAAACTCAGTAAGCGGCCCTCTGCCCAAAATAATTGCCCGCCCCTGGTCTAGACCAGTATCCTGTGTCTGCTAGCAGCTAGTACCAGATGCTTCAGAGAACAGGGTCAGGCCCCCTTGATAGACAGGTGTGAAATAACCAGCCCACTATGCTAGCTCTCATCTAGTCTGTGACTGTGCAAAATTAATGGATTGTTTACAGGTGTAATAATCATGGCTATTTGATTGGCAGATTCCTGGTAAATGTGTACACAAAATACCTAGCCAGTAAAGCATTTAAGCAAATACCTACCTTTAAGCATCTCATTCCTTGCACAGATACTTAAAGTTACATACATACTTAACTGTTTTAATAGACCATAGAGAGGTAGTTAGCTGTGTTAGTCTGAAGCTGGGTAGAAGTCAGGGTAGATTTGCACTTTATAAACTAAATCCGAGATGGATTGCATAAGCTTTTGTAAGCACCAGACTTACTTCATCAGATGCTGTGAATGGACTGTAGGGCCTTCAATGATGATGATGATTATAATAATAATAGACCACAATGTAAATACACAATTGTTTTGAAATCAGTTGTGGTTTTCATATTTTAAATATGGACTGACAACATTGTCTTTTTATTGTAATAACTTTGCACTGTTATTCCAATATTTGCATCTTACGAAAATTCAAGGCAAGCATTCTTGAGACATCCCACTCAATGGAACACAACCTGCAGCATTCAGATTCATCCCCACGGTTCTGCGTGTCAATGTCATGACTGAAACTTACCATCTATACTCTCAACCGATAGCTGCAGGCCAAGGTTGTGTTGTGGGTTTACCACCCAGTGATTACTGGTTGCTGTGATATCAAACACCAGCCAGCCTTCTTCTGCAGCCCAGATTGTTCGAGAGTCAAGCAGGAACAGATCTGAATCCCTGGAAAAAAATATACATAGCTCTTGATTACTAACATTTTTAAATGGCTGGCCAACCCCTACAGGTAAATAGTTATTCATATACTCAGGTTAGACAAAGACAGACAAAACTATCAGGCTAGAGGCAGTATCTTTTATTAGACCAACTAAATAGTAGCAGAAAAATTTCATGTCCAAACACCCTTCGTCAGGCAGAGGAAAATTCAAATATTGTAAAAGTTCTCCCAGGTAGAAAAGAAACTTCATCTTGCACAAGGGAGGTAAAGGATGGTAGGGCCCCCCTGGGTTTCAAAGTCTGTTTATGAAAAAGTTGCTCTGTGACTATGCAGATTAAGCAGAGACAAGGCTCCAGCAACATTTATAGGTTTTCTTATCAGAATGCACAAGTTAAGCCAAAGGTAGACTGGTATCGTATGCTTTTCTGTGGGCAGAGAGAAGGATGCACTGAAGCAGCATTATTGTGACTTCAGGCACACACATTACTCCACATTCAGGGATACTCCAACAGTTGCTGATGCAAACTAAAAAGAAAGAAAGAAATTGCCAGGCAAATGTATATACAATTATCATATTTGCATGTGCAAACTTGTTAATTAGGCATATAATGCACCAAATTCTTATTTTTCCACACAGGATTACATGCTTTCTTTGCACGATACTACCAATAGAGAAAGCAAATTGGAGCAGAGTTGTGCATGTTTGGGATATAAAAATCTGCTCTTGTGTTTAGAGACTAGCACAATAAACTCTGATGGATCACAAGAAAGCATCGCTACACAAGGCAACCTCCTTTCAATCCCTTGTATAGAAAGCTGAAAGTGGCACACTCAGCTACCTTGCAAGCTAAAACTGAGAACCATAAATTGAAACGGATTAGAATTTGAAGGTGTGTCATGGGAACAGGTGAAACGGCCGAAATCATTCAATAAAACATCCCTAAATTACAGTTGATAATCTTGGTCAAATATAAAGATCACTACAGTTCCATACAGGAAATGATCTCTTCCTTCAGAAGCTTGAATAAAAATAAACAGATTGGTTAATTGTGCAGCTATCTCCAAAAGAAAAATCTTTATGAAAAGGATGGAGACACACAGATGGGGTTTGGACATGCCCTATAAAAGATGATTCTTTCATGTTTTAGTGTGCAGATGCGACAACTTGTTCAAGTGTGGCTGTAGCTTTTCGCATAATTTCTTTTTCATTGTGTCCCATAAACTCAGAGGGCTTTATTAACCAGTGTTTTATTGCCATGCCAGAACAAACCATTAACTTCTTTAATTCACTTTGAACCCTTATTTGCATGGAATCCTGTTTGACTCAAAAACCTGAATGAGAGGATTTAAGCAGCCCCATTAAAATAGGATCTGAGGGCCTCACAACCTGTTATAAACCTTACTCTGGGGGTGAGAGAGGTAAGCCCCAGACAGCACCAGGTCAGACAGAGCGTAGCATTGAACCTAATTTGATTCATTCCTATCATCCTATTGTCTTTGTAAACTGGATGGGTCTAGGAATACAGCAGTAATGGCTTTCATCAACCGGTCACTGGTGTGATTAGCAGCAGGGTTGATGGTTGTTGTAACTCATGTTGTTTGGTGGCAAAATTCAGTATTTGACTTCAGTTGCTGCAGCACAAGGGACTACATCACCAAATGCATATGGAAGCTGGATTTCATATTTCCCCCACACATGCACAGAACATTTAACTGCCAGTTGTGTAAATACTGAATATAGGGTGTAATGAATATTTCACGTTATAGTGTGAGGGAGATTAGCATGTTTCCTTATCTGCTGCCAGCAGAAGGAAGTTCCTTGTGAAGATAGAGTCTTGCTATCGGTGGAAATGTGATTTTTTGTGGGAATAAGGGGACATTAAGATGTGTCCCATAACTTGGCACTTGTGTTTTAAAGGCAAGTATAGGGAATTGGGTGACACACATAAATAGCCTTTGTTATTTTCCACAAAGATTTGGTTAATGGAAGAAGGCGTGCTTTGGTATCCGTCCATCCACCAAAACCAAACTGATTGAGGGACTGTGTTGTCTTGCTGCTTCTTACCTGTGTGTATGGCAGTGATTCTCAACTAGGGTGCTGCAAGATCCTTTAAGGGTTCAACCAGGAGCCATGCAAACACCTACACGAGTCACAAGCTAAATCCAGAAATTTCAAAAGAGTCCTCAGTGTCGAACACATTCTGATCTGTTGCAGACTTGTTGAATTCTTTGCAAAAGAAGAATTGCTCTATTATCTTTCTGTAGTCAAGAAACGAAGCTAAGAACTGGCATTTTCCAAGGAAGGTCTGGAGCAGAGGTAGGCAACTCGTAACACATGTGCCAGAGCATGGCATTTTGCTTCGCACATGTGCCTCAGGGAAGGGGCCAAGGCTGGGCTGCCACAACAAGGAGTGGGCCCCTCATGGCTCCCCCAATGTGTTTTTGGCAAGCTTGCCAAAAACATTGCCAATCCCTGGTCTGGAGTCTAGAAAAGCTGAAAAGCACCGATGTATTGAGATTGTGCCATGCTTAAACCAGTTACAGAACTATGAGGTAGTCTGGGGCTGAACATTATAAGACCGTCACACAAATGCATCCCTTGGGAGTGGAGGATGAGAAAACCCTGCTCTCACACTTACTTGTGACCCCTGCCATTATTTGATTCTAAGTTTCCAGGGCTGAAAGGCTTTTATGTGAACATGCTGCAGGATTTAACTATGCCCCCTGCCTCCAGCTGGCGGTCTAGTTACTGCAGCCCCAGCTTGCCGGATTCTTTTTGCAGGTTGAGGATAACAGCAATAACAATACAGAATAAGTTGTTACTGCTGTGCTGCAATATTATTACTCAGAAAAACCAGCCTTTAAGCTTCCCATGCTGACATGATGCAATCAGGTTAACCAGACAACATGATGCATCAAGTGCAGGGGTGAGTCAGCCTGGGAAACTGCATAATATGTTTGTTTTCCTGTAGTTACAGCAATGTGCAAACAATAGGCCTAGAGGGGAAATCCTCAGCCAGGGAGATCAAAGGGACACAGTGAAGGGAATCATCCTTCCCACACACATATTTGGAACGTTTAAGACCCAAAAAGAGCTTGTGTCAAATCTTCTCTGGAGAGGTTCACAGTAACAACGGATTAGCGCTTCCCACTCTGGCCCCCAACCAGTGACCAAGGCTGGAACGCAAACCTGAATGGTGTTGCAAGCAGAACAGAGTCTTCAGATCACGGAGCTTGTTCTAATTAAAAGCACCCCATGTTCTCTTTAAAAGAACAAATGCCGTTTCAGTAAAATGCGCAAAAGAATATAAAAAAGGAGCTAGCAGAAGGCAGAGTCCCTCTACATACAGTCACAATAGATGGAGCTATGGTAATAGTAGGAAGCAGCACAGCAAAGATGAACTGTTGTATGCTGAGACCAGCTCCTTTGTAAACATTTATGAGGCTTGGGGGTGTTTCTGTATGTACTGCAAAACAAAGAGTTAACACAGGAATTAGTCCCAGTTCAGTCTATTCTTCTGAAAGCCACAGGGTTGGAATTACGAGCTGCATGGAGGGAACCTTGCACGTATATAACAATCAAGAGCACTCTTGCAACACTGAACTGGGCTTCTACAGTCAGGAAAGCGGGCTATCTCTTGAGTTGCTCTGCAGTACCATAGTTCCCTTCATTCTCAGGAGGCTACAGCACAAAGCCTCCTGAACATCACCTTATACTATGTCGTGGCAGTAAGGAACACGACTGACCTCCACCTTACAGAAAGATTGAAGAGTTAAGGCCTAGATTTTCTGCGAGTTGAACACCCACTGCTCCAGCTGTAGTCAAGAGGAGTCGCAATCCCCAGCACCTAAAAAACTTGGAGCCTGCCAGCTAACTTTCACAAGAGGCTGACAACTTCAGGTGCTACTGTGCTGAGGGGTCTAATGTGAGTCATCTTTAGAGAAGCCTCCATTTAAGAGAGTGGAAACTCAACAATTTGCCCCTTTCTCTTTCTCTGAGGTTGGGCACCAAAAACCTGAGGCATCCAGAAGTTTGGCTTTAGCCAACGTAGTTATTTTATGGTGTAGGGGGTTTCCTTAGTAGGTCTGTGATTTTCTGGATGACAGGGTCCAGTTGCGTCTTCTTTCTGACTTACGCAGCCAGAAGAAGAATTAGTAAGGGGCAAATAGAAAGTAAGGACCTGGAAGGCTAGATTTAGCATTACCTCGAAGTGTTGATAGGGGTAATAAAATGGCTGACAGTGGGCTTGTCAGTGCCTGAGAATGTAGCTGGGTATGCATTATACATATGCTTGATGGACACAGAGAAGGAACGAGCCATGTAGATAAGAAACGTAGAGGACAGAGATAGGTGATGTTTGAGAGACAAATGGGGAAAAATGAAAGGTGGCAAAATATAGGGAAGAGGACACAGAAGGTGCCATTAGACGCGACAGCCTGGTGGGAAAAATATGCCATGCCTGGCAATCCTAAAGAAAAGAGAGAAAATGGGGTAGGAGGATAAGAGTAGAACAAGGATAAGGGTTATAAGCAAGATAGAAATAGTTATTAATTACAAATCCTTCAGCCAGTATGTTAAATACGTTTCCCCAAATACAATGTTGGCTTCTGTTTCCCTTCTAAATGCACCCAAGTATTGCAGCCAGAACTAGGTCTCAGGTCCCCACACACCAGCAAACTAATAGGGGAGAAGGGGGAGATTTTCAAAGGCACCAAACAGAGCTGAGGAATTAGCCCCTTGGCCAAAAATGGCAACTCTCTTAAAAAATACATGGGACTGATATTGCCAGCACAAATAATTTAAAGACCAAGAGATGGGAGTAAGAATCACGAGACTTAAGTTAATAGTAAGTCCTGTAGCCTTCTGGGGTTTGTATCATTAGGCTGCGTTCTGGTCGTGCTAAAAAGAGACGTTGAAAGTGCATGAGTTGTCAAATCTGCAGTAGCAACAATGAAGACTACTGCATATGAACTATAATAATTACAGGGTAAAATGCTCTAAAAT